AACTTATGAAAGAGAAGTTACTTTAAAAGTGAATAAATCAATTATGATAAACCCCTCTTTATGTTTTCATCATGTTGAGAAGTGAGTAAATCAATTTCTTCAACATTCTTTATTTCTATCTCAAATACTTCCAACTAATAAAAAAAATAACAAAACGATTTTGGTATAAATAAAAAATTAATTTTTAATGAGTAATTTCTCTAAACGAGATATAGCATCACATGCACGTATCCTATCATCACTTTTATCTTTCCAACAATCAGTGATAATACGATATTCAACATCAGGTAACTTTGTAGGTTTTTCTAGTCTTTTACCACTTATTACAAATTCTGCAATTTTCCAAGGATATACAAAACGAGGGTCAGACGTAGGATAAGCTTCTTCCCATGATAAAATTTCATATATTGAAATACCAAATGAATAAATATCAGCAGTTGTTTTATATCGTTGTTGTTGTAAAACTTCAGGAGCCATATAAACCGGAGTTCCAATTCCTTTAGTAAAAGTCATATTAGTCATTAAACGATTAATACTTCTTGCACTTCCAAAATCAGTAAGTTTTAAATTAACTCCAACTTGTTCAGCAAAAGAAAAGACTAACATATTATCAGGTTTAATATCACGATGTAAAATACCATTTGAATGAAGATATTCAATAGCCTTTGCAGCGTCTAAACAAAATTTAATTTTTAAATAATGACTAACTTTCTTTTTATTTTTAATCCATTTATTTAACGAGCCATATTTTGCATATTCTGTTACCATACAGGTTTTAGTAGGAATAAAACAAGCACCATAAAATTGAACAATATATTCACATCTAAATTTATCTAACATATCAACTTCTACTTTAAATTCTTCCATTGAATTCTCAGTCATTTCAGTATCTTTTAATACTTTTATTGCAACTTCATTTTCTCTAAATATTCCTTTATAAACAATTCCAAACCCACCTTCACCTAATTTTTTATCAAATATTAATTCATCATAATCAATAATATTTGTTCTTTCTGTTATAAATTCTAATCCAATTGAAAATTCAGTCATAACATCTTTTTTAATATCATATGAATGAAATATTATTTTGTCATCTATTTGTGTGGAACATAATGGTGTAATTTCTGCTTTAAATACAACTACTTCTTGACTTCTTAAAACAACTACTTCTGGTTCAATAGTAAATTCATATTTTTCATTTTCCATAATTGTTGGTTGAATTTTAATTTTTGATTTTCCAGCATTAGCAATATAAAATGTTACTTCTTTTGTTTGTTTTACTTTTAGTTCATCGTCTCCATAAAATTCTATTACTGGTTTATCTGTTAAAACATGTGGTGCACAAAATACCAAATCAGTTGTTTGACAAATTGAATCAATACTTTTAACGTTAAAATTTGTTTTCTTAATCTTATGATGAATTCTTTTATAAACTATTCCAAGAATAATAAATGAAATAATAACTATTATTACAACTACAATAATAACCCAAACATACCATAAATTCTTCTTTGCACAATATTTCCCTTCTGGAGTATATCCTGAACTACATTTAGTACATTTTACTCCATCAGATGATTCACATTTATTTATTGCTCTAAAATAATAACATGTTCCATCTATACTAATATAATTCTCTTCACATACATCACAATATGTATTAGTACATAATTTACAATGTTCTTCACATTTACTACAATATAAATTATCAACATAATATCCTTTTTCACACTGACTACATCCCAATGATGTTTTAACTTTACAATTCTTTAATTCATTTTGATTAATACATTTTCCATTATCAAGAAAATATCCTTTTTTACAACTAGTTGCTATATCTTTGGTTATACATGTTTCCATTGGGTCTTCACAACCAAAGCAAATAGAATCTTTTTTATAATATCCGTCATTACAAATTATACATCCTAACCCATTCTTTATTTGAAGTTCACATGATGTACTTAGTGATTTATAATCATTAAAACATATATGATTTGATAAAATGGCATTCCCCTTACATGACATACAATACGTTGAATTGATTAC